TCACCAAGATTTTTTTTTTCTTCAGATATGCCCTCAAGGAAAATATTAATCCCATGCTTCTGAGACTCTTGCTTGTTCCTTCTTTCTCCATGTTATTTCTGGAGCTAACTTTTATTTTCCTCTGAGTCTTACTATTAAAGGTGAAAATCTCTCTTTCCCAAATCAAGGTTCCTTCTAAAAAAGAAAGACAAATTTCCTGGTTTATCCTTATTCTTTGTGAGAACCCTCTTGTCACTGTCTGAACTGTCTGCAAAGCTTTTACATTAGAGGGAGAACAGCTTTCATTGGCCCAATGTCCAGTTTTATCTGAAAAGAAGAATGAGAGGCAAAGAAAGTGTATTGTCTACTCTTACTATGCAGACTTTTCCCAACCTGGGGAAGCAGATTCCTCTTCAAATATCCACACACACCTTAATAAAGCAGCGTTTTTGTTGCCACATTCTCTACAGCGCTGCTAAAACACTGGATGGTTAAAAACCTGAGATTTCCCACAAAGCACCGTAGCAAAGAAGGGACTAACTTTATCACTCAGATTATTTAAATAGGTTATGCTGCAGATTTGTCAATAAATGAAATATTCTTGAAAAGATGAATAAGGATGCCAAAGTATTTGGAAATTCTGTTCCAGTAGTGTAGTCTGTTCTGTATTTTCACTGTGCAAGGATTGTTTCTTCCTCTGCCACTGTTTGGCTCTCTGTCATCAATTTAGGTTAAAGAGAGTTTTGTCAGTGACTTAGCTGTGATTGTATGAATCCAGGCTATCCCTTTACAGTAATTCTAATGTTTCTTTTTCTATACATATATTTACAAAGCCTGCAATGTTTCTGCTGGCATTATGAAAGCAAGCACAAGTTTTAAAGAGTGATTTGATTTCTACTGTGGGTCATGGAGTAGACCAGTTGCAGTCAAAGGAAAAATTTTCTTTAAAAAGTCTGACAGTGCACACAACCTGTAACTAAGAGCAGAAAACAATTGAGGGCAGCCTTTGTCCTCAGTCAACCTTTATTACTGATATTTAACTACAATCATATAGAATTTTAAAAGAAAGTCTTGTTTAAATGAAATACTGTGTTTTCTTCCTTAGCTCTACATACTTTAAGAACGAATTACTGTTTTAAAATATGCCACCAATGTTTTTTTCTAAAGTACGTAACCTTTAAAATATTTCTTCTGTCTCTGGTTCAGCACTTTTGATCATTCAAGAGTCGACTAAAATAGTGTGCTCTGCAAGGAGAAAATCTATTTATGCCTTATACTAATAGATTTATTTAATAGCAGTGCAGCAAGTAAAATATCATACTATCAGCTGAAGAAATGCAGTTTTCTAGGGCAATGGGGAATACACTGTTAGAAAGCCAAGTGGAACCAGATTTTTTACTGCCTATCTTCAGTCCATGCTTAAGACATTGTTGTTTTTCAGTTGACACAGGAAGGTATAGTCTCTTTCTCTCAAGTTAAGGCAAAGAAAGATCAACTGGTCAGTGCTAATAATAGGTATGACAAAAACATAGGCAGGGACAAGTATTTGTTAACTAAGGTCTATTTGACTGTAGTTTTTGTTGCTCTGCTGTGTGTTTAATTAGGTCCCAAGTCTGCTAATTCTGTGACGTTTTTCCCTATAATATTTACTATGCTGTTCAATAGAGAAACTAGCCCATATAAAGCTGTCTTGTTTTCTACACATTCTTACTCAATTCTACCTAGTGATTCCACTGTTACTTAAACAGTGTTTAAGGACACATGGAAAACGTTTGTCTTGGTTCAACACTTAATTTTGGTGTGTTCAATAAGGAATGAGGCTTTAGGAAAAAAGTAATTAAAGAAATTATTCCATTAAAATGTTCTAAAATTACATGCTGCTGTTACACGTTGAAAGGAAATAGTTATTCTGTTCTCTAATTTAGGTATTTTAGGGCAACATTTTGCAAGGTGCAGAGAACAAAGATTATTTTTCATTATAGTATTCTCACAGTGTTAATGCGATCCTTACCTGTATAACTGTGCTTGATTTGGTGTAACTCTCTCTATGTACACTTTTGATAAGGTATGTGCACTGTTACGAAAAGTTTAACTCACTGCAAACTGTCCAGACAAGACCTAAATCAGTTGGAGAACAGACATTAACCCTTACCCCTCTGCACTGAAGAAGATGAAGCTTGTGTATAGGAAATTGTTTTCAACAAGAGAGTGGTCTTCCTCTGTTTCCAGCTATGCTTATTGGTCTCCATCTTTACAACCACTGGTATTTCTTTTTTTGCAAAAAGGTAGAATCTTTTCCCTCTTTCATATTGTTTATTTCTTACACAAAAATTTTCTGTTTCCTATTTTACGCGCCCTTACTAAGTACACGGTCTTTCTCTAAATAGATAATAGGACAAAACTTAAGATTTTATTGTTCAGTGGTAGCCCTTAGACTAAAATAACAAATAACCATTTGCTTCCCAGCTCACTTGTTTCTTTACACCCAGGACAGAGGTATAAGAATGACAAGATAGTTACAGATGCACAGAATAATATAAGTTAATTAATGTCACTGACAATACTTGATTTAAACCGAAAAAAGTCTTTAAATATGTCTTTGTTTTCAGAACATCCTGCAGCATATCCTTCCTTCCTAAACAGCCTCTGTCATGGCATGACAGCATGCAGTGATTTCTTTGATAATTTGGGAGGATTGTCTGACCTAGTACCTGCTGAAGCTAATGTAAAGGTTCTTCTTAACTGAAGTAGTGTTGGCCAAGACAAATCACTGTTTGGTGTCAACAAGCGTTAGGAAAAGAAAAATTAAAAATAATCAACAGACCAAAACCCTCTTAAACCAGACTTACACCTATTTTCATGAAGTCTGGTGGCAATACTAGTTTCCACAGATTTTCTTTTTCCGCTTTTCTCCTTCCATTTTCAACTAGAAATGAATTAATTTTCAAATTTTGCCTTAGTCTGAGATGTGCCCAAGATTAGTCTGTCAGCAGGCCTCCTCTTGCCTGCACCTCTTACCTCCATGTCCCACCACAGTCCACCAGGGAAATTAACTTCCCATTTGCATTTGTCTGTGCAGCTTTTTGTAAGAAATATACAGAATGAAAAAGAGGAAAGAGCTTTTCACAGAAACAGGTGTAACCATTAAGGTAACAGTATCATAAATAAATTCTCCTTATTTGCATAATTACTACAGTAGTATTTTTTTAGATTATGTTGACAGAAGAAATTGAGTTGCCCTTAGACCAAGAAGCCTCATTTTCCAAGCTGTACCTAATTCACACAGTAAAAAGTCAAAATGTGCATGCAGCAAATCAGCTCTGCAGCTCTGCACAGAGCCATAAGCGAGAGCAGGCAAAAGTGATGTTTCTGGTATCCCACTGAAAAAAACTTTGAACTCTTCTATGGGGGAAGTTCTGGAAATCTCACTCCTTTCTTAGACACTCATGAATACATAAATGGATAGTACTGCCATCTATCTTTAAACAAGAAGTCTTGAATGCTTTTACTGTTGGCCCTTTTTGAAAAATACAGCACTGTACAGCACTAGTTCAAAATAAATAACATCCCTGGTGTGTAGAGGTTATATAGTTTGTGGTAGAAATATAATTTTTAAGTCTCTCCTGGTATGCCATTGTCTCAAAGTGTGATCATATTAGGGAATTAGGAATGTTTTTACAATTGCAGGTGGGATGGATATTGAGGGGTTAAGATGGAGAGTGTTGGTAAGACCTGGAGATGATCTCATGGTGTGGGAGGATGCCTCATCAGAAAAGATGGTACCAGATGATTCATGATAAGACGGGTTTACCTTATAATCTGGTAATAGTCACAGCCAGGTCCATGCTAAAGTTACCTATAAGCGAGACTATAGCAATAGGGTGAAAGATTCAAAGTTTTTCTAACGTGCACTGAGATCTGTGATCATGCCACTAATGTTGTGAGTCTCTGGTATGGCTAATTTCAAGATAGTCTTGCTATATTTCTTAGCTTGTACTGTGAGACAGATGCAAGGAAAGAAGTAGAGATTAAATAATATGATGGAAAAACGGTGACTTTTTGAGTTCAAGATCTTTGTTCTGTAAAGACTGAATCTTTCCATGCGTGGAATTCCATAAATGTGAAAGCCAAATTCTAACCGATTAAGTTGATTAAGAAGACCCTGTTTCATTTCATATCATGTGAAGATGACCTGCACAAAGATCGAATACCCTTTAAGAAATGCAGTGTGTTTCTTTCTCCTGTTTATAGCTGTGTGGTACAGATTTGTGTTTCAGAGTTGGCTACACAAGTTAGTTCTTTCCGTTGCTTTTCTCTTTGTTTGGCTGGATGATGCTAAATGCAGTCTAGAATTAGATGATTTCATAGTCTAATTAGTGTTGAATTCAGCCATATTTGCAATGGTGCATTACAAGTTCAGCTCCAGTGTACTCACTTCAATGTTTTATAATATTTCTGTTTGATTTAAGTTGTGATGGCTAATCCTTAGCTACAAAAAGCTGGCATAGTCCTAGTATCTGGCCTACTGAATCAGCATGGTATAATGCTAGGGAAGCACGTGACATTGCATTTCTACGTCTGAAAACATTGTAAAAATGGACTTGAAAATATTTAAAGGAATAACTTACAATATAGAAACTATTTTATATATCCTAATCAGAGATTAATAGCTCCTCATTTGTCCAATATGATTAATTTGTTCTGCAACATAAATTTATCATCTAAAAATAGCTCTGGTTGTGCAATTTGACAATGTAAGGAAGTTAGTTTTTAAATAGTGTTTTTCTTCTTAGAACATAGAGCCACCTAAAAATAGGCAATACAATATTTTAAATGTATCATTGAAATTATAACACCTAACACTGTCAGATGGAGAAAGGCCAACATATCTCTCACACCATAGCATCTATTAATAGGCCTGACTCCCTTTTGCAATGTCAACTGTAACATTAATCCTTGTTTTAAATCATAGTGTCTCAAATATCAGCTGCTATACAGTTCTCTTTCAGTTTATATCAGAGAGCCCAATGGAGTCTTTTGAAGAACCTAGTCAGGTTAACAGGGCTAACTTATTACAAGTCCCCACTGTAAATGATTTCGCTTCAGAGGATGAAGACATTAAAACTGACATTGAACTTCGTTACTCTCCACGACCCCGAAGGCGGAATTCTGCATCTTCAGAGGAAGAGGAGGCATATACTCCCACCAACATCTCAAGAAAAGTTTCATTTGCTGATGCATTTGGGTTTGATCTTGTGTCTGTTAAAGAGTTCAATATCTGGGAATTTCCAAATACGGGACAAGACAATGATATAGAAGATGGAGTTTTTCCTCAGGATGAATATTTTTTCTCTCAGCTGTTTACATTACCTCCTTCTCAAGAAGAACTTCTGCAAAAAGTACGAGAGCAAAAAGTAATGTTGGAGTCAATTCTGCTCCTGCCTGGGATTACGTGTATGAATGGCATTATACGAGTCCTCAATATATCCTTTGAAAAACAGGTGTATGTTCGAACGACACTGAATAACTGGCTCAGTTATTATGATATCCTCGCAGAGTTCATGCCTAATTCTTGTGGTAATGAAACCGATCAGTTCTGCTTTAAGATTTCTTTGGTGCCTCCTTACCAGAAAGATGGAGTTAAGGTGGAGTTCTGTATACGGTACGAGACTTCAGTTGGTACCTTTTGGGCAAACAATGATGACAAAAATTACACGCTGATTTGTCACAAGAAAGAAACTGCATCCAAGGTGGATAATAAACCCCAGAAAGAGGTTACAGATAGGTGTCTTAAAGGCTGCTTAAAGACAACACAAAACAGGTGAGGTTACACCTTAACTTTTGATAATTTAGATTATAGCTGGCTAATTCTGACTTTCTATGGGTGCTTGCTGAAGTCAAGACTGCCCATGCTGTTTTCTTCTATTTTATTTCTTTTTAATGAAAAATTTGACCAAGACTTGTTTTCAGTAAAGCTCTTGTATCTATCTGCCAGTGGTTTTCTGCAGACAGATTAGTTGCAATCATAGTTTTAATAAACGGCATGCTTGCCATTAGTTTGAAAAGCGGTGTGAGGGTCTATACATATGGGCTATGTACCAATTTTGATCTCTATAGGACATAAATTGAGCAGTGAGAGCTTTGTTCCAAATTGAGGTAGCTGTACGGTTAAAACACTCCACATCCACTTCCCTTGTAAGTAAAAAAAAAAAAAAGGCAAAAGAAAGGTGGGTTTTCATTATATTTATTTCATGGTTCATTCTCTACATACAATAATGAAATGGCACAGGTGGTTCAAGAAGTGGGTAACTCAGGGAAGAATCCTACTGCAATTACAACAGCTGGTACAAACTTTTCTGCAAGTGTTTGGACTATTCTGCAAGGCTCATAGTTCCTTTTGCCTGCCACTGGTAGATGCTTCTGTTTCAAAAATGGTGAAATGAATAATGTGAAATGAATAATTTCACATACCAATATGGCAGAATTGTAACATATTAAAGAAAAATACATAGAATTTATCTTTTATATACTGTTCTAATTAAATATAGACAATTCATGTTAATTATAGAGTAAGGTGGCAGCAGTTAAGTTATAATTTAACTGAATATAAAGAGAGACAATTAGGAATGGTAAATTTTGGCTTTCTACCATTTTTAACTATCTTCTTTCTGTAAGCAAGGCAAAGTTGCATGAAGAATCTAATTCTCAATTTCTTTGCTCCTCAAATTTGCTATGAATCAATTGGAGTTCTGCAGAGCCAAATCTGTATTTTACCTGTAGTGTGCTTTGCAATACTTAGATCCCAGAACTGAATTCATGTTGGGTTTTTGAATTTATGTTGAGTTTTTAGTTCCTACCCTCTTTCCAAATAAGGCAGTGCTGTTTGATTTCCCTGATGCTCTTCCACTGGGCTGAATTGGTGGGGAAGGGGAAACAGAACTGCAGCAGTGGTGGCAGCTTAAGGAGGAGGGAGACAGCCAGGGTTTCTCCCGTGCAGAACTTCCCTTCCCAAAACCCAGACTTGCTGCACGGGGAGCTTCTGCCAGCTCTAATCATAAAGGAGCCTTGTGAGGAGAGGTGTGCAATAAACATGGCTTAGTGCCTGCATCAATGCCGCAGTGTAAGAGCAGCCCCAGGGCTAGCCCAAGGCTTGATTCAGAGCCAGTCCACAAAGCTCCCCTGATAAGTGTCCCTTGGGCCAACTCTGGAGCCATCATGATGATCCTTCATGGGGGAACATCCCAGTATGTCAGAGCAGAGGGAATGATGCTTTTACATGCCATGTGGTCAACTCCTGACATTTGAGTCTGCTTTTGTACATAATTTCTGTCCTTTAAGAAGCGTCACATGACCCATTCTGGGTAAATAGGATAGCCTGAGATAACCTGCAGAAGGACACTGATGTCAAATACCATAGTATTTGATATCTTAACTGTCGTCTAAGTTCAGATAGCCCACATGGAGCAGATGATGGACTTGGAGAGCTGAGTCTTAATTTAGTGAGCCCTGGGCTTCCAGATACTTTCAGGAATAATCTGAAAATTTAGATACAATTGGACATCTAAGGTTGAATGGCTCCTAAGTGTCCAATTCCCTAAAGTTTCCTGTGACATGCATAGTGCTAGCAAAAGCTGTAGAAGCCTTTCTTCTCGGGATCCTCTTTTAATAGGATATGCTAAATGATTTATGTGTAAGTCAGACAGAGAGCTGATTAAAAAAATTGGAAAGGATAATATGTCTACTCCTTAATATAAAATTGCCTGGTCTCTAATCAGCCTGTAAAGTTGTCTCTTTCTCTATCAGGCTGAAGAGCAATGCATATTTGTGAATGGGTCTATACAAATATATGTGTATATATACATGTCTGTGCATATTTGTCCCTATAGACACATGTACACATACATGTATGTGTAAACCAAAGCAGTCAGATTCTTGTCTAGATTGTGATCTGCTCACTTCTGTCAAACAGTTAATTAGCGTGCACTTTTAAGACCCTCTTTAGTCGCAGAAGGATGTACAGAGATCTAACAGTAAATGCAAAAATGAGCTGAAAGTATCTTTGGAATATGGTTTCAGTGGTCACCAAGGCATCTGGAACACAGTTTTGGCAGTTTGTAATCCAGGACCAATTTTATGCTACACAGACTTTGTTGACTTCACAGGAGATACAGCTTTCACCAGTGTAAATGAGGTCAGCATCAGGGCCTTTTGTTTCAAAAGAACTAAGATGCCAACTTCCATTGCTCACTTGTTTTTCAAAGTGTCTTTGTACATGTTGCCCCTTTGAGTGAGGAGGAACACCCTGCAGACATCTGCAAAAGTACCTCATTATTCTCCTTCAGACCCTCATTATAACTCTTTTGCTTTGATGTCTAGAAAAAAGAGCAAGAAAAACAAACCCCCAAAACTGGCAAAGTGAGGCTGTTGATGTGCTATAATTCCTTCATATCACATTGCTACCCATTTATCAGCTCTCCGCCACCAGCCCATCTCTTTCTCTCTTGCTTTTTGTCTGGATGATAAACTCTGCCGCATTTATATATGCTCTGCTGGATGTTTATAGAACATTTAGCAAAGTGGGTGTTCCTCAAACATAACTAGCTTGTCTTTGGGGCTGCAGCAATGCAAATAGATATACACAGAAGTAAAAACAATTTTAACTTTGATTCACACAATAAGGAGACAGGTAAAGAATATTTGTATCCATGCCCATGAGCTGGACATTTTAGATTAAAGATTTCTTTATAGCAATCTGAATAGAAGAATAATTTAAGAGGTCACTAATTTAGGCCTCTATCTCAAATATAGAAACCTGGAATAACATTTTTTTTTTTTTAACTCTTGGCTCTGAGATATTTATACTTTCTCTTAAAATGTGCAATTTACCTCTTCAGTTAAAAAATAGGACATTAAAGAATCATGTTTTTTAAGCAGAGAGTCTGATCCACTCTAGGGCATACTTGTGTGGCTCATTAAATGTCATTAACGAGGATTAGTTGGGTTAGTTAAGTAAAAGGAATAATATGCACTTTCAGAGGAAGTTACTGAGGAAACACAACATGACTATATCGTATTACTCTTAAGAACATGATCCAGGATAAAGTTGAGTAAATGAGGGCAATAAGGTGGCTTCTGATGCCATTATTCAGAAATAAAAATTGACTTCAGCATGAAAAGTTCCACCTGAAAAAAAGAATGACAGTGAAAAGCAATACTGCATCAAATAATTAATGCTGAAAATTGTCTATATTTATACTCAGAACCACATGACTTAAAAGCCTGCCTATTCATTCCATGTTTCATTCACTTTTTCTTCCATGTCTAGGTATGTACAAATAGTCTTCTCTTAAAATTTCATGAAGTATTTGCTTTTAGATGCATTTTTTCAAGCTAAAAGTATTTCCTCAGAAACTTTAACAATTTTTGTGGTTTTCAAAAGTCTTGAAAGGATGTATAGGAAAAAAGTATAGTTTGGAAAAATAGTGTTTAAATTAATTATTTTATGGTTCAGTCTATCTGAAAGCATTTGCTTAATTATATACAGTCATATATATACTTTGGGGGAAAAATTGACTTCTAAAATTTTAAGACTGTCACCAGAAATGAAAGCGTTTCTGCCAATAAACAGACCTGATTTCTATAATATATTTATATGCACATATATATATATTTAAAAATCAGAAAAATGTAAATTAATTATATCAGCTTCACTCTTTTCTCTTTTTGTTTGACTCTCATGCTTTTGGGACATGGATAATGATTCTGAACATGAGTCTTTCCTGGTCCTCAGGTTTGGACCACATGGGGTTTTTTTGTGGACACCAGGATCCTGCATTGATCTGATAAGACAGGAACTGGCTGGGTGTTGCATGAGGCAGACTCCAGCAGATCATGCTGCACAGTGCAGTGAAAAAGTCACGTAGACTATTTCCACTGATGGAGCTTCATTTCATTTCTGTGCTTTGCCCTGGTTTGCCATCTGTCAAGATCAAGAGCAACAGCCCAAGGAAAATGGCTGATAATCAAGAAAATTGTTTTACAAAAGGATATAACATGCATTTGGACTCCTGTCCTCTGACAAGGAAGGGGAAGGCTAGTATTTATGTCATAGCTGTTAGAGTTATCCCCCTCTGAGCCCACAAATCTGTCACTCTGAACTGATCCACAGGTGTATCAGTGTGATCCAGCTGATGTGGGTCCTATGCTTTTATTTGTAATTGACAGACTGTACTTTTCTTGAATAGTAGTGCATCAATTCACTTACCTCCATGATGCCACTTTAAAATGCAACACAGTGATGGCTCTTACAAGAGTTGCTCTGTGTACAATGCATGATGAGAAAGAAGAGATTAAAACCCCTGTGTCTATGGGCCACCAGTGCCAACTGTGAAAGCGTAAATACTGAATGGTCTTAAAGCAATTGCTAGTGAGAAAATTTCTTCTGTGCATGAGTAGGTTCCCATCTTCAGCTGTTGCCTTATCCCCTTTCTGATGGGAGGCAAAGGAAGTTCCTGAAGACCCAGCTTGGCAGGACTGCATCGTGCTCAGTCAGTCTTCCCCAGACAGATGGCAGACCTGTGCCTAGGTTGCCCTGAGAAATGCAGTTTTGCATCAGCTCCTCTTGGCCTTTCCCACAAACTCATGATGTGATTAAAAAAATCAAAGACTTCTAAGGAATATGTTTGGAAATAGCTACTCGTGCACTTTGCTATGAGGAACAACTGTATTATTCCCAGCTAGACCATTTAAAATATGGCATTTAAATTATGTTCCCTTTTAATCCTTGTTCTTTTGGTTGTTGTTCACCACAATAAGAACAGG